TTGTTTATTAGAATTTTATGACTGCAAAGATCTATTAGAGCTGTCTTTCTCAGAAAAAATATTTAGCAATAGTGAAATATTTATCAGCGTTACAGGCCTTGTAAGCACATTGCTTCTAAAATCTTGGATATTTCACTCCATTTTTTTAGGTCCCTTGCTTTCTCTCTCCAATTTCTCACGCCTATTTCTGACAAGTTTTGCTTTACTGCTTCTAACCATTTCTTCTTTGGACGTCCTCTTTTTTTTTTCTCCATTTCTCCCTCCTTCAATATTGTTTTTACATTTGGATTATGTGGCATTCGTATATTATGACCAAGCCATCTAGCTTTTTTGGGCTTGTATTTTTATATTGTGCTTGTATCGCTAGTTTTCCTTGCATCCTCATTATTTCTGTATTTGTTTGTCTTCTCCAAATATTCTCCGCCGTCTTTATTCCTCCGAAGATTCTTCAGACCACCTTTCACTTTCTTTCCCAAATCTTTACTTTTTTTCTTCCTGCTGGTTCATAATCCACGTTTCACGAGCATACACCACTGTGAGTCTAATTACTGTCCCGTAGACTCGCAGTTTAGCTGTTCTTGACACATTTTTTTCTTTTAGTAATGAATTTAGTGACCCTATCGCTCTGCTTCCCTTCATAAATCTTTTGTCTATCTCATCTCTTTTTCTTCTTTTCCCGTGTTCGTTATGGTTACTCCTAAGTATTCAAATTCTGGCACTTTTGCAAAACTATAGACAGTCTCTGTTCCTTTCATTTTGATATATTTGTTATTATTTTTTATGTCTCCTCTCATTTCCATATATTGCGTTTTTTTTTATTTATTATTAATCAGTATCTTTTCGATTCTTCTTCAAATTTCTGGGAAACTTTTTTTACATATTTTTTTGTTCTCGTTAGTATCACCACATCACCCGCGTACACTGTTTCCTGCTATTGAAAATAGTCCTGTTTGTGGTCATATTTGATCTTCTTACTATTTGTTCTAATACTAGGTTGAATAAATTCGTTGATAGCAGATACCCTTGTTTTAAACCTCTATTCACTGTGAACTGTTTTAAAAAAGCTTTCTTCCATTGTTACCCTTTTTATCATGTTCCTAAGCGTCATTCTCACTAGCCTTATAAGCTTTTTTGGTATTTCTAATGTTCTTATGACCTCATATGGCATCGTTCGATTTAGAGTAATATGCTTGTTTAAAATCGATAACTAGCATATTTACTCCTTTTGTTCGTGGCTATTATTTTGTATTAATTTTAACATGCTTATTTGATAAGTCGTTGTTCTTCCTGGTCTAAAACCTCCTTGGTATTCTCCAATCACTTTGTAATCATATTTTAATTATTTTTTCCTAAACATATTTGCAAGTATTTTATAGACTGCTTTTAATAGTGCTAACCTCTAAAGTTTTCTCACTTCGTTTTGTCTCCTTTTTTATAGATAAGAAGATTATATTGGTTACAAAGAATTAAAGTCTTGTTTACTCTTCTTCAAGTTTTGTTCCTATCGGGGAGTGGAAAACCTTATTCTGCCTTTGATTTGTCCTGCATTATATTTCTTAAAAGTTCTTGATGAACCTCTTAATGAACAGATGTAATGTTCATTAAAATCCAACGACTTAAATGGACCGGACACATAATACGAATGCCTGACAACATGATTGCTAAACAGTTAACGACAGAAACACCTATAGGAAGAAGCAGAGGCCGGCCGCAAATTAGGTGGTTAGATGGAGTTAAGACCGACTTAGGGATACTAGAGATCAGAAGATGGCAACACGTTGCCCTGAAACTGAACAGAATAACGACTAATCTTAGAGCAGGCCTGTAGCGTGAAACTGGCTACAAGCGACCAAGCTGCTATCTAATTGGTCACAATTCTTTTGAGGTGGTCGTTACATCGTGTTGGGAGCCTTCCTCGACTTCGCTTAAGCAACTTTTTTGTCCAGCTGCCGTCTCTCATGCTTGCAACATGTCCCGCTTATCTCTATCATGTAACCCGTCCGATAATGTAGTCAACTCCGGTTTATCCACAAATTTCCTCGTTTATTACTTAATTTCTCAAGCTTATTTCAAGCATTGATCTCTAAATTTTACGTTTCTTCTCAATTTTTCTGTTGACGTTTTTGTGAGAGTTAAGGACTGGTTTTAACACAATGGTTGAAAGCTTTCCTTTTTAAATGGACTGGAATATTTGTTTAATGGGAGATGTAAAAATGTCTCCCATTTTTCAGCTCAATATGCAGCTCAATAAAACTTAGTCTTCTGAGTAGCTCAGATGTCTGGTTGTCAATCTTATTTCCTGGCCCAAATACACATATCTTTCCACAACTTCTATAGACGATTTCTAGATTTCTATTAGGTCATTGCGGACGAGATTTTCATAATTTTTGTTTTCTAATAGTTTATCCTTAAACCGACTCTCTGTGTTACTTGCTGTAGTTGTTGTAGCATAAGTCTGGCTTCTCCTAAGTCGTCTTTTATGAGAACAGTGTTATCGGCATATCGGATTTAATATGCTGCACAGTATTTTCATATCCTACTTTCTGTATATTGAATACACGTGATTCTCTTTCTCGCCATTCCATTTTAGTTAAAAACCGAAACAATCATGACTTATTCATATGAGCACAGAAATCATACGATAAGGTTAGTGATACGACGACGAGTCTAAGCAGTCTTCACTTTATTTTTCGTACATATTCTTTGCCATTGATTTCGGTTTCCGTCTGTTCCTTTTTTCTCCGATTATTTGTCCTTTCCTCAGCCATCAGATGGATCGGTGGCACTCTAGCCAGTATAGTCACCTCATCCATTGGCTCACTACTGCAAGACTTCGTTTGGAGAGCTTTAATCCTTGAAGCATACTTCTAGATCTTAAAAACTTCCATTCATGCCAGTAATCTATCCATGTACACCACTAAGCATAACAATCAAAGTATATTTCCATAAGATAGATCTCAAGACTGGCTCGTATGGATCACCTACACTCATATTGAATCTCTCCTTGGTCTCGACCATATACTATTTATAATCTCCTAGTTACTGGCATAATCTAACCTAATCTAAGTCCTTTAACACGTTCAATGCTACAAATTGAAAGGATCGCTATACAGATTGAACGAATTTAAAACGGATCAAACAATTTAATATATGTCTGTTTGAACTGCATTTGAAATAGTGGACAAATATAAAACTTGGACAAAAATAAATCCATATCTATAATAATAGACATTGTATAAAATATCGTTCAACTATCTGTCTCCCTTTAGGACGCACCATACTCTATAGTGCCGGCCCAAAGTCAATGTTGCCAATCGCCGTGTAATAATCCGATTTGCGGATCTTTTTGAGAGTTATATCTTCTTCGTATCTTTAAATAAATCGGATATTCGCCTATATTTTTCATTGTGTTTACCAATCTACTAAAACAGACTAATAACAAAAGTAAACCTAATGGTTTGTAGTTATTTCCTTTCTTTCCTGTAAATATTTTATGGGTAACACCTTGTTTGAGAAACATCTAGAGGAATGAGATTGGCAACACCGCTCAAAATATCCATCTGTGGGAAGCGATAAGTGGTTTGACAGCATAATAAAATCCTAGATTTATGTGTAGCTTTCAATGTTTATACGTGATGGGCGGGGCAACCTATTTGGGTGAAGTTTTGACTTGCTCTTGAATGAGTTTAGAATTCAGCAGCCCGCTGAAGTATTGGATTTTTATAATATAATTATTTGATAACCTTTTGTTGGCCAACCACCTAGAGCGGAGTTGAGCCGAAATAGCCGAGTTGATTAAAACATTTTTCTTATTATTAGTAGTATAAGTTTTAAGCAACAATTGTATAAGTTTAATAATTTAAAAAATAAACATTTTAATTAAACAATCGTATGCCAGTGATAAAGGTATAAATTAAACTCAAATGCCATTTGGATGTGTAACCAGAATGCCGACAATGTTAACGATAATTTACAATCTTATAGTAAGAATTATGTTTTTGTTTCTTTTCATTGTGTATAAATTTGATTCGCAATATATAACTTATTATATGTACATATTAAATATAGCTGAATAGCTTTAAAAACTAATTATTGTTGTGTATTGTGATTGTGTTTCAAAAATGCCAAAACAACTGAATAGTCGCTGTAAAGTGCTGGTGGCTAAATTATACATTTTTATGTGATCTTTTATATTATGGATTAAACGAAGGTACCTCGTTTTCCACATTATTGAAAAGTGAAAAAAGACATTTTGAAAATGTGAATATTTTCCCCATTTTAAAAATGAAGTTGACTAATGTATTTTTGAATAGTTGACGTTTTAAAAATTCCTTGCTATTCTGATGTTTTGGCAATGTTGTGGGGTTTTGACGTCGTAAATCTTGAATGACGTGAAATAATTTTTGTATGAAAAATTCTATATCTACAGTTTGAGAAGCGACAAGTAGCTGGTCATCCGCGCTCAAATGGAAATGAAGGTTTTATAATAGAGATAGAATAGGCTTGTAGTCATGCTTTAAAAAATCCGGTTTTTATAGGCACAAAAGATATTCTGGACTTCTCTAGGAACAATACTGACCCAGCGAGAGATGACTCACTAAAAGTTTCGAGAACTTCTGCTGTATAGACCCATTGGGAGAAAATAGGCTGATTCTTAAAATACCTGATTCTCAAATAGGAAGTCGGGGAGGTATAGGGAAAAAGAGATTTCTTATCTGAAAGTAAACTCTTCGCCATCACGATCAATGAAGAAGTTTATGTAACAGTTCTAAAACGGTAAATGCAACCAAGATTAGTGAGGGATCTGCTTCCTAAATAATGTTGTCAATTTCATTATTTATATCAACTTTTTCTAATTTTAACATCATTAGTATCTTTCAGTATTTCCAAAAAACATAAAAAATGTTAAAACGTTTTTTGTATCTCCCTGTAAAAAAGCTGAAAGTGAATAATTCGAATCTACACCAAGGCTATTAATTTTTACAATTATTCCGTTCTGTCTCAACATTTGTATTTGACAGCATTAATAGGTATCTAGTCGTTAGATGTAATGGACTCTGTACAAGAATATTACGATTTTGTGCTGCCCTTGATAAAGGAAGCGGGAAAGGTAAGTTCATTTTTACTGTTAATAATATGTTTATATTTAAAATATTTTTTTAAAATACAAACTTGAAACATATGTTTCTTAAATGAACTTATTTAATTTAAATAAAAAATGTTTAAGATAATTATTGTAATTCCCTTTATCTATTTTATTTAATGTCAATAATTTAATATTTTTAATTGCAATATAATCATATAATTATTATAAGCGGCATATTATAATCTTTTTCAGGTGAATGAGTTCTCTGTTCCAACTCTTTCTTTTTCTACATATTGTCCTCCAGTTCCTCATTTTCATTATTTTTATGTTCTCTTCTATATGGTTCCAACCATCATTTTTCCTGAGTCTTCCTCTGTTTCTTGGCTTTAGTAGAACCCAATTCGTGATTATTTTACGCATCTATTATTATTCATTTCTTATAACAAAATAACTACATAGACACATGGAAACAAATATTAGTAATTCCCATTCCCAAATTAATAAAACATTTGAGAGTTGTACAATAAACGTAAAAATAAATATAAATATAAAAAATATAAATATAGTGCTCTTTACAAGGCATAATATACCACCATTATCTCACCCATAATAAAACCATTAACATTAGTTCGATATATAATTTGATTATCATTCCATTTACAGGTGCTTTTGCATGCCAAAAATTACAAAATAGAAACCAAAGGTGAAATTTACGATGAGGTGACAGAATATGACAGAAGAATTGAAGAGGTTCTTATTAAGAAGATCAGGGAACGGTGGCCTTCACATAGGTATACTTATCTTTATACAGTTCTATAAATTATTAAGTTAAATCAAATAAAAATAAAAATAACTAAAATATGCATGACGTACTTTGGGAGAAAATGTTGATTATATTAAACGAATTCGTGTTTACAATCTTTAAGTGTATACATGATTAAAACGAACCAAAAGCAAGTGCTAAACATACTTTTAATTGATTAACGATTTCTATTATTATTCTCATGGTTTCAATTTATTTCTAAATTAATACGCACACAGACGCAACTCTAATATGAAAATAAAAATTGAATCAAGGGACTATTAAAAACAAATTAAGATTAAATTGAAAACACTCCGATGCTTAGTTTTCTCAGAATATAATGAAAAGTTTTTCTTAATTACAATTATTGATACGTTCAAAATTTGTTGACTATCTTTGATAGCAGGAAGAAGTTGTTAGGTCTTTCATATGTGTCTTCAGTTGCTATAACATCTACATTTATCAACTTTCAATAGTTTCCATTGTAAACACATTCTTTGGGAAATAAAAATCAGTATGAAGTCATTAAGAGAAGCGAATCAGTTTCAATCCCCATTGGCCACGGCCACGCAAAGCAAACATGTCCCTTTGTTAGGCGAGCGGTTTACCCCTCAAAAGACGCTTAGAAACAAAATATACCTACTAAAATTGTTTTTGCATTTCTAATGCACCAAACCTTTTTTATTAGATTCTATATATTTTTCCAAGATGAAATGTATTTTTTTTTTTAATTTTTACAAGTGGGCCGGCAATTGTTATTAACAAATAACTTATACACAAAAGCAATTTCACCTAATTGCTTCGAAATCAATTTTTTTAGGTGTATCTCATCAAAATAAACACTTTTTCTCTCTTGATAATTTTTCGAAAAATACTTCCTTTTCGAGTTATTTGCATTTTTTTGTTGAAAAAATGCCTTAATTAGTGATTTTTGGGATTTTTTTTCTAAAAAACTACTAAATAAATTGCAATTCTACAAATAGCTTTATAATCTTTAAACCGTCGAGTACAAGTTAGAATATTTTGACAAGGATAATTTTTTTCTATCTTGCTAAAAACGTGGACCCAAATATTTCGAATATGCCTTTCGAGCAGTCTACCGCTAACTGTGTACAGCGGTTGCGGCGATACAGGCGTGCGGCGCGTAGAAATGTTTGTTTAGATTTAAAAAATTAATTTAATACAAATATTACGTACAATTTATTAAAAAGAAGATATTTATGATTATTTTTATGTAGACATATTATAATTAAAACAATTAAAATTAATTCTTTACAATGCTATAATAATGTAATTTTTCTTTTAATATACGTGGTGACTCTATTATTGAATGTTTTATTACAGTGAAATACATTAACCAATATATAATCAATTTTCATTGAAAAATATAATAAAATAAAAATTTAATATTATTTATACATCGTTTTCATTGTCAATAAAAAAAAGTCGAAAAGATTCGAGCACCTACAGCACCTCAACCGTTGTACAAGCTTAGCGGGATACTCTTGAAAGGCATATTCGAAATATTTGGGTCCACGTTTTTAGCGAGATAGAAACCATTTATCCTTGTCAAAATATTCCAACTTATACTCGACGGTTTAAAGATTATAAAGCTATTTGTAAAATTGGGATTCATTTAGTAGTTTAAAAAAAAACCCAAAAATCACTAATTAAGGCATTTTTTCAACAAAAAAATGCAAATAACTTGAAAAGGAAGAATTTTTCGAAAAATATCAGGAGAGAAAAAGTGTTTATTTTGACGAGATACACCTAAAAAAATTGATTCCGAAACAATTCGGTGAAATTGCTTTTTTGTATAAGTTATTTGTTAATAACAATTGGACCCCGTTATGCAACAAGGAACCAACTAACATTTTATCAAAAATCGAGTTATTGATTCCCACCGACTCCAAATAATATTATTTAGGTTTTGCAACAAGGAACCAACTGATTTTGGACATAGGCGACATCTAGGGGACGATAGAACCATATTGCAAATTTGTAAATTCGGTTGTACAGGTTTCTAATTCGAACCAAGTAACTTTGGTTCTTTGTTGCAGAAATCTGTAACCTACGAAAGTTGGTTCCATGTTGCAGATTTACTTTCCCAGCTGTGTATTATCGTTGAGTGCCAGAAAAATAACTTTGAAAATGCTTCAAAGCGAGAGATTTCTTTCGCAACGGGTGCAAAAAATCATGAATAATGTAAGGCTGATACCAACGTCTTCCACTGAAGCTTGTATTTCCAATTTGCAAGAGGTAGGTTTATTAATTTATATTTTTTTTACTTCTAACCTTAAAAGACCTCTAAAATTTTGTCCTATGACTATATTATTAGGTATTTTTATTTAATAGCATGTTATTTGCCAATTTTTAGCATAATCAGTCCTGCTTATTTATAGTTTTTTATTTAATTTTGATTTTTTTCCGAATATGTAAGTTGGTTCCTTATTGCAAAATTCTTTTTCAGGACTGGCAAAATAGCAGCAAAGAAAATCAGGGACCAAGTAACAGCAATAGTGATTCCCATAAACATGATGATATATCGATTATTAACGGTAACAGTTACGACGAAGACTCGGATGATTCCGTCAAGGATAAAGATTTCCAACCTACCTACAGCGACGTCTCATCCGACGAAAGTTTAGGACAACCTTCAGACCATAACTCGAACCCTAATGATGAAGCAGAAACTAATTTAACTGCAGATGTATCTTTCACGGGTCGTCCAAAAAAAGGAAGAAAGAAAAAATATGCTGAACAAGACAGAAAGGAAAGAAAAAGGAAAACGAACAGTAATATGGAGTATTACTCCGCTCGAGGAAAACTTGTTAAGTCAAAAGCATTTATCAAATTTGTGTGCTCATGTGCTGCAAGATGCCATGAAAAATTTTCTGCTGATGATCTCCAACAGTTTTTCGAACATTACTGGAACTTAGCGGATTATAATCTACAAACAACATTTATATCAACATCCGTTAGAGAACATTTTGCTCAGAGAAAAAATTCAAATGCGATAAATCCTGCAACACGACAGTTCTCAAGGAAATATTTCATAAATAAGGTTATAGTTTGTAGAAATATGTATACGAATACTTTGCAAGTGTCAACTAAACGTATAAATACTGCTCTACAAAAAGTAAGAAATTTGTCTACACTTGACAAACGAGGTGTTCGCGGTGGACACAACAAGATTTCAGCAGATGAAAAAAATATTATATTTAATCATATAAATCAATTTCCACGCTATGTATCCCATTACTGTAGAGCACGGAAGATGGATCAAGAATTTTTGCAGGAAGGAACTACTTTACCGATAATGTATGATCTTTACAAACCAAAAAGTGATAAACCTGTAAGTTTTTCATCTTTTAAAAAAGTTTTTTTGAGAGATTTTAACTTGAGGCTAAAAAAGCCAAAAAAGGATACTTGCAATAAATGTGATGCATTTAAAGTGAAGATACAAAGTATTAACGACGATGAAAAACGGGAAATTGTTAGACAACACGAATTACATGTAGAAGAGGCAGAATTAGGAAGAAAACAAATGAATATTGACTTGGCCAAGGCAATAGAAGACGAGCAAACAGAAACTCTGACCTTCGATTTAGAAAAAACGCTTCCTTTACCTCGCATATCTTCAAATATTATATTTTACAAAAGACAGTTATGGGTATATAATTGTGGAATTTATGCAGGTAAACAGAAAAAATCAACATTTAATTTATGGCTAGAAGGACAGGCAGGCCGTGGAGCCCAAGAAGTGGGATCTTGCCTAAGAAAATACATTCTCGCTAACATAAGCGATAAAGTTCAGCATATTATTCTGTGGAGTGACTCTTGCGGTGGACAAAACAGAAACATTAAAATAGTACTTTTGTTAAAATGTCTTTTGGAGGAATCACAGCATTTAAAGACTATTAGGCTGAGGTTCCTTGTTCCAGGTCATACGTTTCTGCCGAATGATAGTGATTTTGGAGATGTCGAATGTGCTCTTAAAAAGCAAAATAATATATTTTCACCTGAAGAATACAGCAATATAATGAGAACTTGTAGACAAAAGCGACCTATTAATGTAAATATGATGGTAAAAGAAGATTTTCTCAGTACCTCAAAATTAGAAAAACAAATCACAAACAGAAAAAAAAGTATTACGAACGAGAAGATAAGTTGGTTACGAACCAAAGAAGTTAAATTATTTAAAGATAAGCCTTATAATATTTTTTTGAAGACGACTTACCTAGACAATGACGATTACCAAGAAATTAATATACGGAAAGTAGCAGGAAGACAAGCTTCAACCGGACCACAGTACAACACGTTTTTAGAACCATTATGGCCTGAGGGAAAACCAGTTGCAGACGCAAAGTTGAGAGACGTACAAAGTTATCTTCATTTAATACCGTCAGCACACCACAGCTTTTATACAAATCTAACGGCAGACAATTCTATAATAGAGGATATAGATGGATTTAATGGAGATATAGATTTCGAACCAGACGTGGATATTTAATATTACATTTAGCAACAAAGAACCAAGTGATTTTTTTCTACCTTAGGAGTTCATATTGTACTTATGTATTTTACTAATATCATTAATACCATTTTATTGTAATAAAAGTGTTTATTTTATTGTCGTCAATCATTTTTTTATGCCTAAATAATTTCATGAAACAATCTAAACATTATTCTAATTTTTCTCAAAACTTTGGTAATGTTGGTTGGTTCCTTGTTGCATAACGGGGTCCAATTGCCGGCCCACTTGTAAAAATTAAAAAAAAAATACATTTCATCTTGGAAAAATATATAGAATCGAATAAAAAAGGTTTGGTGCATTAGAAATGCAAAAAGAATTTTAGTAGGTTGATGCTCTGCTTATAGGGGTAAACCGCTCGCCTATGTCAATTTGGGTAGATCAGAAACTTGTTGGCAAAAAACTATAAAAGCTCAGTTCTATTTCATTTTCGCAACCGGATGAAAGTACCTACA